GCGCAGGCTCAAGCTCTGGCTCAAGCCCAAGCGCAGGTCCAGGCCCAGGCTCAGGCCCAAGCTCAGGCCCAGGCCCAAGCTCAGGCCTTAGCCCAGGCGCAGGCTCTGGCTCAGGTTCCACTCGCCATGCCTCTCTCGATGCAAGGCCTGCCGCTGCAGCCGCAGCAGTCGATCCTCGCCCACCAGCTCATGACCCCCATGGGCTCTATGGGAATGGGCTCCGTCGCGATGGGTGGCGTGGGTGTGGGAATGACGTCGGCCGGCGTCGGCCTCAACGTCGGCCTCAACGTCGGCCAGGGGGTCGGGGTGGGCGTCGGCATGGGGCTGGTGCCGTCGTAGTGGTCGCCGTGGGGGAGCCTTGTGGGACTGGAGCTCTTGGCACGCAAGTAATGCTTGACCACCTGGGTCAAAACTTACCTCTAACCCTCGGGGAACTTCTGGTTTTGTTTGTTGAAGTGTCCTGAGGGTGGGATCAAGTATTGAATTGTTGCAATGAAAAGGAAAGAAATTTAAATGTTTTGTGTGTTTGTCTCACTGTCATAGCTGTCTTGTGCTCAAATGTAAAAGGGGAAAATATTAATAACCGTGCACATTGTCCAGTTCCTCTGTAGCTCCTACGGCACTAATCGCCATAATTTCTGTGATGATAAGGGTTGGGGATGATTTGAGGCGATTCCTGTGTATTGGAGTTTAACGCACTGTATTGTCTTGTGTCAATTTTTCTTCGGGTTTTGCACAATGTATGTTAGTCATGGACACTGTTTGCCCTTGTGAAAGTCAATAGATATGTTTTCTTTATTTTATTTCTCTATTGTGCAAGTTTTTGAAAGTTTGTTTTTGTTTATGGAACAGTTGATGTGGGGTAGTTATTGTAAAGGGCTAGACTATAATGTTTGATTGATTCAACGTGTATTTAATTGTTGATGTTCTTTTAAATCTTTATTCAAAGTCAATAAGCAATAATCCATTGTGTGTTATATTTATGGATGCACAAATATCTGCTAAAGAGCAGCAAACATAAAGTAATAGATTTATATTTATAATGAAAGGTGCTGTGTACGTGGAAATTTCCTGTATTTTAGTTTTCGATTTATGTTGTTTTTCAGGGGTACAGAAATGTTAAACAGAGGCAGCGGTGGTTGATGATGTTTGTTTAAAATACCCAAGTTACAGTCATGTGGAACAACCCCCGTGTCTGTGAGACACGAGAGAAATTCTGTGCCCCCTTGTCCGTGTATAGACACTGGGACCTAAGTGGAGTGACGCAATGTAACCAGCATTGTTATTTAGACTTAATAAACATGTGATTTTGTGTGAAAGCTCACTTGCCACGTTCTCTCAACCTGATGACCATTCCCCCTTGGCATCGCCGTCGACTAAAACATACCCCCTACGGAGTTTCTCCCCACGGAGTATCGCCGCGTCCCGATGGCCAAGTAGTGCTGCCACCTGACGGCGGGGGCTGCTGCAGGGCGGTGCCGCCGGGCCGGCCGGCCGGCCAGCCTGGAGGGAAGGACGGGGCGGGCGCTTCATGCCGCAGGTCCGAGATATTGTCCCACGCGAATGCCGCAGGTCCGACCAACACAAACATTGCGCGGCGTGCCTCATGTGTGCCCCCCCCCCCCCCCTCACCCCACCCGCGCGCACACGGGGTGGAAAGGAAAAATGGTTGCCGCAGAGCGAAAGAAAATGGCGAGAGAGAAGACGAAGGAGGAGGAGCAGAGCGTTATCTCCTTTTCCACTCGGCTAGGTCCGACCCGAACGCTGTGAACGGTACGCAGCCTCAATGGTCACATGATTGACCTATTCTCCCCTCGGTCGCGTCCCGCCTCGCTCGCGCCGCCGCCGCCGCCTTGCCTCCCGTTTTTCTCGTCTCGCCGTCGTCCTACCTCTAGAACCCCCTCTCCCTCCCCCTCCCTCCTTACCCCGCGGCCACCACCGCCCCATTTCTCTTGGACCCTCGCGTCCTTTTCTTTGCTATTATCATTGCCTTTCCTTTCTCGCACCCCTTTCCCCCCTCCCCTCACATCCCTTTCATACCCCCCGGCGCAATACGGAGAGAGAGAGAGAGGGTTATTGCGTTATTGATTGCGTTATTTTAACGTCAAGTGTGCGCCCGCACATGTGTGTGTGGGTGTGTGTGAAGGGGCGTTCAAAATGGAACGGAACAGAGCAGAGCACATCCGAGCGGCTGCCTTCGAGCCTTGCCTCGCCTCGCCTCGCCTCTCGCCTGCTGCTCGCCTCCATACGGCCAGCAGCGTGGCCTGCTTCGCCTTGACCCGGGTGCTAAGAGCATGTAGCCAGATGCCCCAGCAACCCGCCCTAGCCTAGCCCGCCGCCGCCCGGCGCCCGGGTGGCAACCGAGAAGATAAGTTGACTCGAGAAGATGAGAAGTGCTTAGCGAACGTCTATAGTCTTCCTCATAGCAGCTACGGTGGTGGCGGCGGCGGGGCTGCGAGCAGGGAGTGGGGCCCAAGCGCAGGCGCAAGTTCATGCTCAAGCCCTTGCTCAGGCCCAAGCGCAAGCGCAAGCTCAGGCTCAGGCCCTGGCCCAGGCGCAAGCGCAGGCTCAAGCTCTGGCTCAAGCCCA